AGCTATTGAAGTGCAGATCGCACTTCAATAGCTTATAGCTGGGCTGCAGGAGCCCAGAACTGACAGCCCAGGGACCGGAAGTGATGCAATCTGCATCGCTCCCGGTCCCATAGAACGGGGAGGGGATCGATGAACGGAAGTTCGTCGACCTCCTCCCCAGCTCCCCGCGGACACAAAGATCGCCGGTCCCGGGCCCGTAGGAGGGGCAACGGAGCCCGGGAAGCACGGCGGGGGTGTCTGGCGGCCCCTTCTTCGGGACGCAGAAGCGATCTGGCGACAGGTAAGTCGCCAGAATCGCTTCTGTTGTAAAGCCGACAGTCGGCTCTACAAGTTTAAACAGACTCCCGGCGGCAAAAGTCGCCGGGAGTCTGTTTAAACAGCCCCGATGCTGGTGACGTACACTGTACGTCGTCAGTCACGAAGGGGTTAAAGTAGAACTTAACATTAAAAATAAAAACTTACAAGCAGACAGGGTTTTAATTGCAGAAGAGAAATACTAGCTCTAGTCTACAATAAAACATTGTTACCTGCCTGTCCACATGCTTCTGTAGAATGTACACAGAGCTGCACATGCACAGGCTGGTGTGCATTCTCAGCATTCCTCGATACTGGGATGAAAATTCTAGGCCAGCGAAGGAGCTTTGCAGACGTCACATCACTAGAGGGGACTATAATTCCTGTCTAAATATCTTCTTTCACAAAGTGCATGGTGTTTATGATTTTACACTAGCAACATGGTCACCCCCCTTGAAAGTCCTAAGCTACATCACAAGCACAAAGTTCATATACATCTCTTTTTCTCAGGAGCACTGAGAAGCCCTAAAACCCCGGGTGCTGTAGTTAGTCATTATTGCCACTCCAGCAAATGGTAACAGGAAAGGGAGGTCATGCCACAGTTTTTTCAGAACGCTGCAGTTTGCACACAAGAGAGCCCATTTCAGGAGGTCAGGAACGCTTTTGAAAATACTGAGTGCACCATTACATTAAAGAACTATGGGGTTAAGGCTTTTCCCCATAGTTCTCCTCAGGGTAACGGGAGGGCACAAACTAGCATCCTTCCGTCACCCTTAACTCAGTATACCGCCACAAGCTACTGCTCGCGGTATACTGAGACGCCGCAGCTGAAGCTGATCCCGACAATTATGTCTGGATCCGCCCAGCTGCGCGAGTGACAGCTGGCTCTGCCTATCTAGAGGCAGAGCCAGCTGTACCCGCCCCCTCCGCGATCCGCGAGTCAGCGCTGGCGGATCGGAGCGGAGGGAATCCAGCCCCTCCCCTGTCACGGCAGAGAGCTGTGACAGGATCGAGAAGTGAGGGAATGCCGGTATGTGTTCGCTCACCTCCCGATCTACTGAGCCGACCTGTGACAGTCTCATTGTCACAGGTCGGCTAGAACTATGAGGCGAGTGAAAAGCACTCACCTCATAGTTCTCCTTTAATTGTCCCCATCAGAGTGCCCCCTTTACATTAGTTGTCCCCATCAGGATGAACCCTTTACATTAGTTGTCCCCATCAGGGTGCCCCCTTACATCAGTTGTCCCCATCAGGGTGCCCCCTTACATCAATTGTCCCGATCAGGGTGCCCCCTTACATCAATTGTCCCGATCAGGGTGCCCCCTTACATCAATTGTCCCGATCAGGGTGCCCCCTTAATTATGAAAGGAAGGGGCGCTCTGATGAAGACAACTAATGTAAGGGGGCACTCTGATGGGAAACACTAATATAAGGGGACACTGATGGGGGAATGCAAATGTAAGTAAGTATTGAGGGGACATGCGATCTGGAACTCTGCTCAAAGAAAATGTTAGTCACCGGACCTCCTTGAATTTTAATTCAGTACCCTTGCTCTAGCAGATTGTGTAAAGCAGCTTTACTTAGCTGATCCCCATGCCCCCGGCTATTGGCACTCAACTTTCTCCCGGCATTCTCGTGTATATTGCAGGGCTTTGTTCTCAACTGGTGGGTCGTGACCCAAAAGTGGGTCACCGCATGCCTTCCACTTTTCTAGGTGAGAGCCTCCCCCTCCGAGCAGCACTGTCCATTCTTACACCAAGGAGCCATTCAAAATATGCAGCCCAGCGCCAAAAGTTGACTTGAGGTGTGGTGGACTGGGGGTATGACCGTGAAGGAGCTCCCTCCATATGTGCATTGCTTATAGCTCCCTTGCATGTCCTGTAGAGGTGCCTGGACTGGAGTGATATTGCAGTGCGACTTGGGTCATGACTTAATGACCGAGGACAAATGTGGGTCCTGAGGTTACACAGGTTGAGAACCTCTGCTCTAAAGGGCTTCGAGAGGGGACTGGTCACACAGGTGAAGGTTTGAATAAGGGAAGTAATGCACTTTATTACGCTAGACTTAACAAGTTTTTCATCTATGAATTGCTGGATTGCCCCCATTGTAATTAGCTTCTTTTTTTTGCTGTTGTTTAATTGGCAGAGTTGAGATACAAGACCCATTAAACCAACGTTGAAGACTGAGAGCTCCTCAACCCTCCACATTTATGAGTAGATGAGGAGTCCATAGACGGCCGCAGCTGTATGAAAACTGATCTAGATGAGGGCGCCAAGTGTGAACTAGGCCACTCCCACTGACGCCCTACCGTTGCACTGTGTACTATTGTTTTGCTGTGGGCTATGCACCATATAATTAACCCTTCCTCACCAACAAACTGGGCCAGCTACTCCCCCGACAATCACCCCGCATGCATACGCACATAGAAACTGGAAACCACCACACGCTGCACATCCCCCTCTACTGCACCCCGCCGCCTCTGGCTGCGCAGTGAAAAAAATCATCAGCAGCCGCTATACCGCGCTCACGTGACTCATCAACTGCGCATTAAGCACCCTGCAATCCACTCTACACATGTGAGCCCCAAACACTCGCCCCCCCCTCAGCTGTCACCCACATCAGTGCCCTGCGGGGTATCTTACCGCGCTCACCTGCACACTCCACCAAGCACCGCCCCTCGGCCTTGCGTCACTTTACAGGCGACAAGACGCGGGACCAATCAAAATCGGGTAAGTCTACGTCATCACGCTGGTCCACGCTTTTGTTTTTATTGCGTCACGTGTGTCTTTGTATTGTTGTAATTACTGCAGTGGGATGTGCTTGCAGCCTGAGATAACCCTACTGATGCTTGTTAGAGAGAATGTGTTAAGGGAGCCCATTCACTTTGAATGCGCTGCCAACACGCCGGAAAGAACGGAAAAAATGGACATGGAGCATTTCTCTGATGCAACACATGGTAGTGTTACCGTGCCTTGTGGTGTGCCACAACACGTGTGCGTCAAAGCTGTATTGCCTTACCAGGCTGGGTGCCATTTAAAATAAATTGCACCACAATGTACTTATGGTGCTTAAAGGAGAACTATGAGGTGAGTGCTTTTCACTCACCTCATAGTTCTAGCCTCTAGATAGGCAGTGCCAGCTGTCAGTCACGCAGCTGGGCGGATCCCGTCACAATTGTCGGGATCTGCTTCAGCTGTGGCGTACTATCCCGCAGAAAAAAAAATGCCGTCTGGAGACGGCAACCCGCCAATGCTGCAGTGCCGTCCGTTTTTTTACAACGGATGGACGGCAAGAGGTTAAAGTAAACTTATAAGTGTAAAAAATATATAATTTGCCTTCGAATGTATCACATTACAACATACTTGGCCTTAAAAAAGAACTCCAGGAAAAGTTTTATTAACCCTTGCAGGAGGACTACCCCCACACTGCAAGTGTTTTAACTGCTCCTTTTTGTCTAGGTGCTAAAAAAGTTACACTCACCCAAACTGCTGAGCCGACTATCTGCCTCTCTGGTAACTAAAACATGTCTCCCCCTCTTCTGCACAGATGGAATGTTCCTCAGCGTCCTCATGTCTATACACTTGTATACAGCATGAAGACACAAGGATTCTTAGACCACTGCAGATGAGGGGGAGAGAGGCTCTCGGGACCGGTCTAAGAACAAGCCGGCTGGAATGATTTGTGAGTATAACTTATTTTTTTAGCACCTAGACCCAAACGAGCATTTAACCCTTGCAGTGCAGCCCCACTGGAAGGGTTAACAACGTTTTTCTTTAACCTGCCATAATTCCTTTCTCCATTTCTTTTCTTAGCTGTTATTTATCTAAAGATTTTTAATTTTTATTGTCCTTTTAATTATTTTTTTCCCCAATGTTACATCAAGCAAATTTGCAAAATAAAAAAAACACCCTTCATTTAATCTGTATATAGGTTCGCCGGTCTGTGAAACAGTAACATCATTTGAGGGTCATTTTAAATGGGACAAATGATAGAATAAAATGTGCACTTTCTTTCTATGGTAATACTACTTGTTTTAAGACATTGGTCAAAATAGGAAAACTTTTTTTTACAATTTAGTTACTCTTTTTGTGTCTAGATTTCATAGAGATCAAATATTTTTTACAAGATAGTATTGCCAAAAGAAAGTCTTGTTGGTTAACAAAATGTGGTAAACTGTTTTCAAATACATACTAGGATGGACTTTTCCTGGAGTCTCATCATGTCAGCCTACGAATGGGTGAACTCTGCCCCCGTCAGTAGGCTGACATGATGACCTCCAGGAATATGTAAAATTGTAATCAAATGCCTACCTATGATTTTCCTTTCCTGTAGTCTCGTCATGTCAGCCTAACGATGGCAGAGTCCACCCATTAGTGGGCTGACATGTTGAGCTCTAGGAAAAATATATGTGTTACTTCTTTATCTTATCTTATTGTTGAATAGGGCCATAGCAGAAATGTAAAAATAGCTCTATCCAAAAGCTGAAGTGTTTAGATATAACCTGGTGATCCTGCCAGGTCCTTGTACAGGCGCTACCTGCAACAGGACGACAAATGTCTTATGTTGTCACTGTCGCTCTGATGAAGGATCCCTGTGCGGACCCGAAACGTTAGCACCGTATGACAGTATGTGACATTGGGTATTGAGTAAACATATCAATACTTTAAAAAACCCTTCAAGTGTGTGCCGGTGAATTACTTTTATATACTATTAATGTTTTGCACGGCGCCATCCGTGTGGTCACCTGGGCACCACATATATCTTGTGGTTTTGAGACCGTGGCAGTGCGAATGGGATTTGGACTTTGTTATGCTGTCACTGTCTGATGCGTCTCTGCTAGAGAATACTAGTGGCTGTGCCGACACACATTGTTTCTATACAAGACCATCTCAAGGCTGTGATATTGCATGACGTGTCAGCTGATGTCACTATACATAGAACATAAATGCAAAATGGTTCTCCCTATTAAATGTCACACAAGATAGCAACTGTCAGGGAACTCTTAGCGGTTGATTTACTAAAGGCAAATAGGCTGTTCACTTTGAAGGGGAATCTTTTAGTAAAATACTTACTTCTATGCAGGTTCATAAGGGCAAGATGAGTTCTGGTAAAACTGTAGCACTGCAAGGAACTTTTGGAAGGCCTTTTATGAGTAGGAAATGGAAAATAGCCCAAATAGAGGGGAGACAGAAAGGAGGGAGATGATATGGGCTGATGGGGGCAAGAATTTTAGTGCACCCACTTTTCATAGTGTGCTAGAAGACCCGCAACATTTTAATGGAAGTACTCAGAGGTTCCCCGGGTTCATTAGAAACTTAGCAATTACCCTGACCCGTCAGGGTTTCTTACCCTTCCTTGTCCAGTTGCTTGCAGCATGGCTTTTTTTGCAGGGTGTCTGACACCCTCTTATGACCAAACCCGATAACATCATCATTCTTCAACTACTAGCAAGATCATGGCAGATTCCTGTCTCAGAGTGATGATGCAAACACCAGTTCACTATTTAACCATCAGCTTGTCCATTCAGTCTCCGCCCTTGCATGTGTTCTGATCAACCAAGTGCTCTGCAGTTTCTGTTCTCAGTGTATGACCCTGGCTCTGGCTGACTGATGTCTTGGTTCCTGACTGCGGCTACTGTTTCCGTTCATCCTGCTCTCCATGCCCTCTGACCTGGTTGGCTGGTTGGACTGACTGCCCGCTTTGGCATCTGACCTCTGGCTTGGCACTGACGACATCCTAGACTTTCTCCAATGTTTTTTTTTACCATTTATGTTCATTGTTTTAAATAAACTCCTTTTTATTTTTTAAATCTGCACTTTAGTTTCTGGTTTCTGGTTTCTTGGTATCTTGACAAGCCTGAACCTGTTTGTTTTGGAATGGGCACACTTTTTTTTTAGTTTTAATAAAAATGCATAAAATTTGAAGCAAACATTTTTTCCCTCTGTCCTAAAAACAGTGATGTTATGCAGCGTATACTGTATTATGGTAATTCTGAAATATAATCCACAAAAGTCACAACAACATATTTGGAAAAGCATCTTAAAGTGATCCTGTACCTTTTCTACAAATAGCCTTTTAGAGCTAAGCTAAATTCCTGGAACTTCTACATATGGGAGGCATATGATTCCGATGCCTTTCTCCCATGATGCAGCACTGGGGGTAAATGGGTGATGCAATAGCAATGATTTCCAGCCAAAATTGTTTTTCCAAATGAGAAAGGAAGGGTAAGTATGCAGAGCGGTTTATAGTTTTGTGTCCTCACTCTCATTGTACAGCCCCTCCACAATCTGTGTGGTCCACAGGACAAAAAGTTAGAAATATTTATCCAGTGGGGACAAATTCAGTAATATCAGCACCTTTTCATTTCTTAGTGAGGAAGGGTTAGATCTTTTATTAGGTTTTTATTGCTGGACAGTATATGTCTCCATTTGGGAGGTTTCACTTTTGCATTGTTGGGAGATGAATGAGGGCAAATCTAACCCTTTTAGGAGTACCAATTTAAAGGACAGTCCCATAAATCATGATAGAGGTAGGATTTCTTGTTTTTTTTAGTTCATGCAATAATTTAGCTTTATGAACTAGGATTTATGTGCTGATATATAGGATTCATAAAAATTCTGATAAATATGTTCTCAGTATGTTGATGCAGGAATTGCCTTCCATGCCCGGTTGGTTGTACTTGCTGTCCCCCAAGGCAACTGTCTTGTTTCACCCCAGAAAACTGGCTAGATTTAGTATGACACAACCAGAACAGTCACCATAACTACAAAATGCACGCCAGAGCTGGAGGAGGAGAACCTATAAAAAAAAAAAAAAAAAGAATAATAGAATAACAGGGCGTTAAACCCAGACTGAGCAGACTAAGTATACAATTTACTATTCTGCCAAAGAAGATTCTCAGGCTGTGCAAGGACAGCTACAATGGAGACCTGGCTGTATGGCTCTCTGGAATCTCTAAAGTGACACTAAACTCAGGAATTGAATCTTGAAAATGCATTCAAGCACCACTCCAAACTCGCTTCCTCGATGGACTACAATCTCACTTTTAGTTTACTAATTTGTATTGAGATTATAGACTATCACAGAAATGAGCTTGGAGTGGTGACTACTTTATAACACACACAGCAGGTGCGGAACTACCGGGGCCTGAGGCTGCGGGAAGGGGGGGGGGCAGTGGGGTCCGGTCCTGGGCACCCCCACAGCCTCAGTGGGGTCTGGTCCTGCAATATGGGGCAGTGCATATTGAGGGGGAGGGGGACCCAAGATAAAATCTTGCACCAGGTCCCTTTGGTTATTAGGTCCGCCACTGACACACAGGGACCATGGGGAACAAAAGTAGTCACCCTCCAGAAGGAAGGACAGTGTCAGCATGAATTGAGAGATGATATGAGGATCTATAGCCGAGTGATACACAAATAAGATACATTTTTGTTAATAGTTAAGGTACTTGAATGTATTTTAAGATTTAACTCCTGAGTTTAGTGTCATTTTCATTATATATTGCTTTTGGCAAAAATCATCCCTCTATATAACTATGGTATTGAAGCTGAACTGTAAACTCCTTCACAGACCGGACTGGTTAAATGTTTTCTGTAAAGCTCTAGTGAAACATATTTGCACTAGCACTAAATGTGTTCAAAAAATAATTATTTTTTCATTTGTGTATAGGGATCATGTAAACGTGTGTACAAATACACCTGCCAGGAAACATGTTTAATCATAAGTATGACTGATCTTATGTGCTAGTAGGTCATTATGCAAATTCATATTCTTTCTGACCAAGGATTATGATCCATTTACAATAAGGCTAAAAGCTGTTACATTGTAAAGTTTAATATGTCTTTAGGTTTTTATTTAAAGGTCTGGATATCCATTTATTGTCTCCTTGCCAGGAACTGAGCAGGTTACTCTGCAAACAAAGTGAGCTTTGCTTAGTGAATAAAAGATTAGCACTTGTATTCAGCAGGCGGAACCAAAGAATACGATGCGCCCAAGTCAAGTACAATTTGCCAGACCACGTACAGAGAAGGGAGTCTGAAGTAGATCTCAGTACACATAGAGCACAAGCCTATAGAAACCACATAGATTTGCAGCAGATAACACATCGTTTCTTATGGCATCTCTTCTACAAGACACGTTGTATGAAATTCAGTGCCAGGCTCCTGCTCCTAGCAAAGATTTCCATCATTTGGTTATAACGAAAAAAGAGGTAAGGGCTAATTTCATTGTATGTATTAGCAAACCTCAGTATTGAGTTAAGACCTGCAATGAGCAATACAATTGTGCAAAGTGCTGCTTGTAATATCAAACAATTGGATAAAGTGTTGAAGCTGCTTGAAGCTGTAATACCAATGAAGTATGATTTTTTTATTGGTTGCAGTGAGTTTCTGTAATATGCACGGTTCTTTTCCCTTAAGGCTTAGGTACCTCTGACTATAGCCTGCTTGCTCATCTTATTAAGTTTATTTCTAGACACTATGGAAAACAAAAATATAAAAGGAGAATGAGTCTTTCTCCAATTATTGTATTATTGTCCAATCATTCTTGTTTTGGTGACATATTCTCTTTAAAAAGAACCTATAATGATCATGCAAGAATCTGAATATTCAATCTTAAATTATCATTATATCTGTGCAGGCTTATAGATAAAATATTTACTTTATTCTTTAAAAAATATATATTTTCTTCTCATTTATTTATCCTTACTTGCTTTGTGTCTGACCCGTTAATTTTACTCAGGTGGTGGAAGGTCACCTAAAGTTGATTTGCTAACAACTACCTGACCACAACGTACACTTTGGCGCTGGGAGACACGTTGTGAGTTCAGCTGAAAAGTCAGTCAAATAGTAAATAAAGATCAATGGGGGCGCACATGTGAATCTTGTGCATATATAAACCTGTACAATTATAATAATGTATGACAAAATATTAGGTTTCTTGCATAGCACAGTCATAACTGGTTCTTAATAAGACAGGAATGGATCATTGTTTTCGACTATGTGCTTTGGTAAATAACACAAACCTGACTTTAGTGATTATTTGAAGTTTCTGACATGAAACTAAGGCTACAGTGAACATCATTGTTACCTTTTGTGCACTATGGACCACATAAACACTATCTCAAACACAACCATTCCATTTAGTCTCATGCCGATTTAAAATAATAAATTACTGCAATATACAGTGCTATTTTCATTAATGGTAACATAGTCAATGATGCTAAGAGATGTATAGTAATTGTACATTCTGAAGGAAGGGGCATCATACTATGTATAGGTACCCTCTTCTACAACAACAAAAAATCAACAATTGCTGTTTAACTTTTCTGATTGTTCCTAGATTATCTTAAGGTCCTGGAAGATTTCAGTACGCACTGAGCACAGGAAAATGTTGCCACGAGAAATAAAGACAACACACAATGAATTCCTTCAAATGACCACGATGCACAGTAAGTCATACTGTTTGAGCACATGGCTAAGTGAATGTAGCAGTTTGATGTGTATAATTCTATTTGGTTCTGTGATTAATGGTACCCATGGAAACTGATTCCTATAGTCCAATATCTGAGATTTTAGTAGAACCAGAAAATGAAGAACTTGTTTACATGCTAGCTTAATTCACGGCATATAGAATAAAAGTCATATTTGGTTGGGGAGGTTATCTCTCAAAATAATAGTGGAGCCACAGGTCCTTGCATTTCACTTAAACAAGCTCACTGAGAAAATAAGGGCAAGTGTGCATATATCTTTACAGCAAAATAAAGATCGTTTGATAGATTACTTGCTAACAGTTAGAATCCATCTTAGACTACAACAAGTTGTTGTGCTATGTCACAATAATGAAAGCATCTTTACCTGGAAGGTAGAAGACAGCACTAATACAAAGTATACAAACAGTCTAATATTACACCTTGATTTTACTTACTACTTAAGCTTTTTTATTACTAAAAGTGTCCTTTCAGTATGCAGCTTGTCTATACGTATAACTATATGTAAATCAGCATCTTTTGCTAGTCAGACTGCTTTATAACGTCTATGACAAGCTTAGATTTAGTTGTGTGTATGTCCCATTATTGAGTATACCAGTACCTGGAAAGAAGAGAAAGACTCTATTAGAAAGCATAAAAATAGCAGCCTCCGAATCACTTTTTTTTAGTTAATATCCACTTTGAGGGCCCATTCACACCATATCCGTTGCGTTGCGATACGTTTTTCAACATATGCTAATAGAAGGGCACCGAAAAATGAATGGGTGTGGATGGGACTAGTTCACACAAGTCCATTCTATTCCATTGTGTAACATTGCGCTGAAAAGAAAGTAGAACATGTACTACTTTTTTTTCAGCACAACTTAACTGATCTGGTGTGAACTAGCCCCATTCACACCCATTATTTTTTCTGTGCCCTTGCATTAGTATCCGTTAAAATACAGATTGCAACGCAATGGTTTGGAAGGTATTATTTCCCTTAGTCTCAGGCACGTGTATTGACTAAAGTCAAAGTTCGAAAGACTGGAAAGGGCAGATTTGTTTACTTGTTTCTCTCTGATCACACCTTGAAAATAAACTGTACTCTAATGCAAACTCTGAAGATGTGTGCTAATATTACCTTTAGCCAGAAAGCTTTTGTTTCCCCTTACTGATTTAGTTTCATTTTAATACTGGGCCTTTTTTTTCCTGGATTGACTAACCCCTGACAACAGCCATTACCCTGTCCAGTGACCAGTGACAGACAGCTGTAGTGACCAGTAACTAGACTCTTTACTGTACAGCCAGGACCAAGCCATGAAATCATGGAAAGTCAGGACTAGGGATGAGGATTAGGTTCACGCCTACTAAAGGTTCGGAGTGAATCCCCAGGACTCACAAAAGTCTTCTAAAACCTGTTAGGGAGAACTAATAATTCAGTTTAGAGGGAAATACTATTTTTATTTTTATTTTATTTTGGCACTAGTAATTTATTCAATAGCAGTTGTAACCTTTGAACTTCAAGCAAAATTCTCAACATCTGTTGGTGAACTGAACCCAGGCAGATTTGCTCATCCTGCAGCAAGTCCAGTTGCCGTGACTAATTTTTTTTTTACAGATATTAGCTGTTAACTTTGTTAGTCAGAAATGTCTATTTTCCGTGTTTTGATATAGTGTCATTTTGTTATGGGGTCCTGTCTAGGGCACTTGGGGTCCTAGACAGGACCCCATAACAAAATGACACTATATCAAAACACGGAAAATAGACATTTCTGACTAACAAAGTTAACAGCTAATATCTGTAAAAAAAGAAAATGAGTCACGGCAACTGGACTTGCTGCAGTTTTCTTGAAGACGTTTCACTTGTCATGCAACCAGCTTTCTCAATTCAGAATTACTTGTACAAAAAATGATCTGGGAATAAATATGGTGAATGTCGCTCCAATCCTCATAATCTGTTAGTCGCAACCAGGTGTTGATTGCATTTGCATAATTGGAGCTAGGAGGTGTTATTAACCTGCCCATAGAGAGGTGTTAAAACAGCATTGTATGTGGCAGACCAGTGAAACGTCTTCAAGAAAAAATACAGCAAGTCCAGTTACCTTGACTTATGTTTTTTTCTTACAGATTTACCATGACCTGGATAAATGAGAACATTCACAGACTTATACATGCTAATAGTTTAAAATGGAGTATGGATTCACCTTAAAGTTCAGTTATTTAAGACATGCATGAGGTGATATACAAGCCATTAAAAACCATAATTGCTTCACTTTTAGAAGTGTCCTTGATACCGGTTCTTTATGCCAGAATCGCAAACGTCATTTAGTAATTTGGAAAATGTTGACACATCTCACATACAAACCACACTGTCAAGGTTTGAGGTGTTATAATAATGCTTTCATTACCAAACATCACAGACTCTCAATGCATCTTCGACAAGTAAATGGTGTAGCCTGCTATATTACATTAGCCACAGAACTGTAATGTATTCGTTGCCATAGTGCAATGATGAAAGCAAGACATTACAACACCAGTCATTCAAGCTACTTCCAAAGTATTTCAACCCCCTGCACGGTAATGAATATGCTCATAACTTACAGGAGCAGACACATATTGTTTATACAAATATATGAGAGTCTTCTTGTTTACTGTCTTTTGTATCCAAATGGTCTAACACCTTGTATGATTCACAATGCCAAGGCATGCCTGGGCACTCCTGTCTCATGTAACATTTTATTTTACAATAATGGTAAGTGCCAGCTGGAGTATTGAAAAGACATTTGAACTGTTGCCTTATTAAGGGTTTCATATTTGATCACACATTCTGGGAAATATCATTGTGTAAATATGGGGGACAAACAATATTACAGTTGCCAGTAGGTAATTATTGTATTGATTGTATGCTAATGACCTGAAAGTCATATCGTAAGGATCCAGCAGGCTAGATGGAGAAGAAAATGAGGGAGAACCCCAGTGGCAGACCTAAGAAAGAAAGGGCCCAGTGCCCCCCCCCCCCCCATCGAAAACCAAAACCGCAACAACAGGTGCCCTGTTTTTAGTCACTGAGCCGGTGGACAGATCACAAAGATCTCTCTGTGATAGGCTCAGTGATACAGAGCACAGCAGCACATGCCACTTACATTCCTCATATAACAAATGCAGTCCTCTTTGCCTTAGAAGCTGCAAGGGAGCATGACCACCTGCCAGGATCCCTGCTTCATTACTGCACCCTTGCTGGAAGAGGTAAGGGACAGTTGAAGAGATAGGAGTCCGGGATGCCTCAGGTCTGTATACGTATGATATAAATATAAATACACCGGCTACATCGGCAGTAGTTCCGCCTCTGGAGAAACCAAAGTCTGAAGGATCAGACAGACTATGTTGGCAGCAGATGAGTGAAAGATTGAGAGTTCAATAGCCACTAGGGAAAGCGAACCAAAGTTGAGAACAGGAAAAGGTCGGTAAAGGTACTAAACAACCTGAGGTGAGATTAAAGCAGATTGAATAACACTATTATATAGCCTTAGAGTCAATGGACAGCACTTTACAAGGGGTAAATGACTGACTGAACAACCCAATCATCATTGCTGCCAGGGTTCATAAATAGCACACATGACCAGATGTGATTCCAGATAGGAACGTTACACATGTACTGTGCAACACCTTCCTACCCACTGGATTTTGGCTTTTGTATTCAAGGTACTTTTACTACAACCAGCGCTACTGATTCACAGTTCAATATACAGTACAATATACAGCGCTACTGTGAATTAGTAGCGCTGGTTGTAGGAAAAGAACCTTGAATATAAAAGCCCAAATCTCGTGGGTAGGAAGGTGCTGACCTTTGCCGGTTCTCAACTTTGGTTCGATTTCCCTAGTGGCTATTGAACTCTCAATCTTTCACTCATCTGCTGCCAACATAGTCTGTCTGATCCTTCAGACTTTGGTTTCTCCAGAGGCGGAACTACTGCCGATGTAGCCGGTGTATTTATATTTATATCATACGTATACAGACCTGAGGCATCCCGGACTCCTATCTCTTCAACTGTCCCTTACCTCTTCCAGCAAGGGTGCAGTAATGAAGCAGGGATCCTGGCAGGTGGTCATGCTCCCTTGCAGCTTCTAAGGCAAAGAGGACTGCATTTGTTATATGAGGAATGTAAGTGGCATGTGCTGCTGTGCTCTGTATCACTGAGCCTATCACAGAGAGATCTTTGTGATCTGTCCACCGGCTCAGTGACTAAAAACAGGGCACCTGTTGTTGCGGTTTTGGTTTTCGCTCGGGGTGATTAGGGTGTGTCCAGGCACACACGGCACACCCCGTGCACACGCCTATGCCTACCTCCCAAGGATACCAAGCTAAACTGAGTTAAATCACTATATAAAAGAGTGCAGACACTAGTTAGGCGTTGCCTTTGAACCTGCCTAGTCTCAGAGGTCAAGGACTGTGATCCCCAATGAATGCTGGGAGATACTGTTTGGGAATGAAATTGTTTTTTAAATGCTTAAATAAAAAACGATAAGAAGATTGAATGTGCTCTTTTCCAGAAATGAATTACTATTGTAATAATAATATTTAATGTGATTTAAGATTTTAATCTTGTAGAACATAGAGAAAAGTTTCTATTCTTTAAATGTGTTGGATATACCGAAGCAAGGATTTAACTACAGCACCTATGCAGTGTGGCCAGCAAAGGAACTGCTTAACAAGAACCAGTCATGAATTTGAAAGAGATAAATCCTATGTTCATTCACAGTTGTAGATGTTATGTATGTTATACGCCTTATTTAAGTCATCTACATGGGCAATATGGGGCACTTTTGACAGCTGTGATGTGAGGTGTGGACAGAAAGGCTGCAGTAAGTGATGCACCTGAAAATTATTTTTAATTAAATAAGCGCGCTTGGGGCTTACAAGGTGTGACACACAAGCAGAGAGAGAAACCCTTTCTTCTATACATCTGTAGGGTATTCTGTCAGCCGTGACTGCAGCGGAGTCACAGCATAGAAGATCAGTGACTCAGGTGGTTCTACTTTGTAGCCATGACTCCTGACAGATGTCAACAGGCCCAGGAAGCTATTTTTAAGTACCACAGATAGATACATTGTTTGGATAAGCAGACGTGAGAATCTTTAAACCATCTTGTGGTGGGGTGGCTCGAATCTAGTAAATTTTAGGACTTTTGATACACATTTACAGTATTTATACTCTATCTGGAAACAAGTGGCAAACTTAATTACCAGATTATTTGTTAAATTATTTTGTAATTTTCCTGCGTTAAAAAGAACGTATTTATCCCTCTGTATTGTTCTGTAAAAAATATAATTTATGTATGCGTACCTGTAAAACAAATAGCCAACACAAGATTAAAGCCACTGTGTACCTAAAGTTATAGAATATTCTAAATATTTATGTTTTATAAATATTATATGTTTTATGACTGTTACAAATGCATTTCTTTACTGACGTTTAGACAAAAAAAAAATATAAATACTTACTTTAAAATATTTTATAACAGTTCAGCCATATCTATATTTTAGCCACTTTTGCGGCTTTGCCTAATGGTTGCCTGATATCTGGCAGTTCCTGTTTGACCTTACGCAATGCCAATTGATATGGCAGTAACTGTCAGACCTCGGGTGACCTGTCACCTCTGACTTTTAGAGTTAGGGTCACAGAGTAGGGAAAGCTAAATAAAGGGAAACTTAAAATTGTTTAGGAGGGAAGCTTGGACATTGATATAAATTTTAGTCCACATATATTTATGTTCCTGTATAGGCTTAGTTGGTCTCTGGTTCTCCATGGTACACCACTGCCTGCCTCAATAATATCACCAGTATCTGGTAAATAATGTATTGGACATCATGTTGATTTTAGCAGAATTCTTTGAAAGTATTGAATGTGTTAGAGTTTAAAGAGGACCTTTACCCATATCTGTAAAATAACAATGAATACACCTTTAGAAATGCTTAGTAATGACAATCTACAAACACATACTTCTAGATAATTGCCGGCTTTGTAGTCTTTGGATACCTTATTTCTCTTTTCTTTCACAATCTTCTGACAGTGCCCATGTTCACTAACCTTTAACTTCCTGGAATTCTGGCACATGTGACTAGACATGTGACTAGGACATGTACCATGCACATAATCTCAGGGGAGGAAAATGCCTTATCCCTGAGATCTCATGAGATTACAGATGAGATTTCCCAGCAATGCTCTGCTGATGACAAGGCAATCCCAGTGTGCATTGCTTTGGCAAATTGAAGTCATTTTGCCCTGTCAAAGCAGGAAGTGAATGCTCTGCAAGTGTAAGTATTTTAAAATCACAGCATTTTACACCTGACATGTCTATGTTATTATTTATCATCATACATAGAGGGATGCACTGGTGGAATTTGATTTTTGAGGGTAAAGGTCCGCTTTAAGATACTAGACCCATATACAATGTCCATGCTTGGAAGCTGTGTGCCTCTGAGCAACTCTTCCACTATGAACAGACATACAAACTGACAACACAGTTTACACACACTGAAAGCTTTAAAAGCTTGCATTGCAATATGGAATTTATCTTTTTTGGGGTGGGGGAGGGGAGGCATATATGCACTTTACTATGATATTTGGAGAAAAGGCATTGAACATCTACACATTCTAACATAGGCAAGGGGCACCAGAGAAGGTAGGTCTTTCCCCAACAGAGGACTGTTACTAGAGGTATAATATTTCTAAGATATACAACCATTTTAGATATAAAGTTAGGTTGCCATATTTTTCACCTAACTACAGTACATTATCTATGTATAGTTTATTGAAGGCATTTTTCATTCTCTTAACACTTTCCTCTAGAATCTTGGGGAATGACTTTCTTTGTGTCCTGAATATAAAACATTGCTCAGTTTCACATTAAATTATTAACCACTTTCCTTTTTCAATCATCTAGAGTCATTAGAAAAGATCTTTGGCAAGGCTACAATGGAATATGTATTGAATTTGTGTAGAGGGCAATTTGATTTCATTGTTCGGATACCTGATAGCCTTAAGATTTGTATCTTATGCTTTCTCGATACACAAGACATTAAGCAGCTGGCAGAGACCTGCAAGACGTACCAGAAGGTAAGCAATACGCAGCTGTTGTGTATTGAGTAGTTCTTTTCTAGAGATCATGTTCTAGTAACCAGAACCATATTTTGTTTATTCTCTGAAGTCTTTCTGAAAGGTACCCAAATACACAGGATAATGTAAAAGATTATATGAACACTGATTCAATGCACTACTTTACACACTTGTTGGACTTGCATTGTGCTGTGCTAGCCGTTTGTTCGCCATTACTATTTTTACAGATTATAGATCTCTACGGCAAATCTGTGAAACACAAAGGAAGCAACACCTCTAACAGTATTAATAAATGCACAATTTATTCATATCACATAAATGTACAATGCCCACCTCTTAGGTTGGCTGAGAGAACACAATACTGTGTAACACGGCATACAGACATAAATGGTGTTTTTTTTCAAATAAGAAGGATGGTGTGGTTATTAGAGTTCTCTCAGAGAATCTTTAATAGATGAGTGTCAGGTTGGTGTTTAATAAAAGTACAATAGCTTCTAAGGGGAGTGAGGTGAGTAACCCATGACAACAGCGCTAAATCTGATGTAAAGCCACAAAGCTGAGGGTACCAAAGGAACTCAATCCAAAATACAGATAAAACTCCAGTTCAATAGCATAGTCTAAAAAAATTATGAGTGTCCTGCTAAACTATATCCTGACTAAATCTAAATTGTAGTGTTTTACCACCAAGTACATTGCAAGTTTGATGAATGTATCAAGTATAAATATATATATCTATTATAGCAAAAAAAAAAAACAATACAAACTAATCAGTATAATATCTATAACTCCTGTTATAAATTCAATCACTAAATGATCTGTGTCTCACAAGTGTGTGAGTAAACCGACTACCTCAATATAACAAGCAAAGGTATTATCACATCAAGTAAATTAGTGTACAATCCAGGGAAATCTCGTTGTGAAACATAAACAATTACAAAATGAAATGGTATAATCTTCAAACAGTCTGTGTCTTCATCTTGAAACAAAACACCACGTGATCTAAATCACTCGGCGTGTTGTGATTATTCTCTTTTCCCACACCCGTGAATATTCCATCTCTATGTCAGATGATCTCTCACCTCCTTAGAAGACCTACTCAGAGGTCACACTGAGCCGCTCCCTTTTAGTTTCCGGGTAGGGCACCCTCTCTGGCCACTCTTTTCTTTGCAGGCAATGAATCCTCCAATGCTCAGCAACTTATCCGATGTGTATAAAAATATATATATATTCTAAGTGCACACCATTATATTTAAAAACCCGAATTTATTAAAAAACCTACTCACATACAACTCTTGTCAATCAGCATCAACAACAATAAAAAAAAACACCAATGAACTTAACATCCCAAGAGCGCGTCTGATACTCTCTCTTGTGCGTCACCACGGCTCTCACCCAACGTATGTTGCATCCCTTTTGACTTTATCGGGTTAAAAGCCAGTGATGCAACACACTTCCTTAAATAGAATCCTGTGATTGCCCTAATGTCTCTAAGATCCGCCGTGCCATCTGGCTGAAATGTTTTTCCCCATACTGTGAGCTGTATCGAATAGATTGACGGTCCTTCTTACCTGTATCCCAATACTGATTTGCTTATATATTTCACTTTTTTTTTCTTTTCCTCATATCGAATCCCTGGCAGGGTGGTGCCCGCATCCCCGCATCACCACCCCCGCCCCCGACTTTGACGGCGAA